TAAATCATACATCTATTAATTTCTATTATTGATTTGCCTATTAAGTGAGTAAAGGGAAACAGTCTTGGTTAATACGTTTGTTAAAGAGTAAAAAGAAAGACCTTTGGCTTAAAGTTTTCCCCCCACTCAGACTCTAAGGGCCCTGCCTGGCTAAATGGACTGATGACCCTTATCAATAGCCAGAGGACAAGTCGCCAGGGCAATTATCAAGATTTGAGGGAGAGGGCATTTTTCCAAATAAAGGAGGGAAGAAAACTTAACTAGGTTTACTAAAAAGATTAACTCTGAAGAGATATCCCATTTCATTTCCTGCTAAAAGATTAAGAATTTTACAAGTGATGTCTAGTCTCAATAATATTGATTAAAAGTAACCAGAGACAATAATTCTAAGTATATGGTTTATATATAAAAAGTTGGGCCGTATGACTAATTCAGATCACAAGGGGGTGGATAATATACAATAGAAAGGTACAAAAGAGGCATGGCATGAATGATCTTTAAACTCTGTTACAGATTATTTTTTTAAACCTGAAAGCCAACAAAAACTATTGAAAATTTCAAGGAAGTGGGTAACATGATTTGATTTGTATTTTTCAAGAAGTATTCTGGCTTCAGTATACAGGTGGATTTAGGGATAGAGTAAATGAGAGACAAATAGGATGATAGTGTAGTAAGGTTGAAGTAAAAATGTCACCTTTATTATCAGGCATAAACAATGAATGATGTGTTAAATCACTGACATGGAGAACAAAAGAGGGGTAAATTAGCAGGACTATGTTAGGAGAAGATAAGGAGTTCACTCTTGGACACATTGTATTTGATGCACTCTTGAGCAATCCAAAATAGGATATTAAGCAAATAGATTTATGGGTCTGAGGTTCAGAAAGAATACAATCAGGTCAAAAATATACAATGAAACAGGGCACAGAGAAACAAGTCACAGGGCATTGCATTAACCATCACCACTATCCTTTAAAAAAATAACAGACAATAGATTTTACAAATATCTTCTTGAAACCTTGGAACTTGTGAAGTACAAATGATTATCTCATTTTACAAATGAGAAAATTAATTCTGAAAAAAATAAAGTAAAGTAAACTTTGCAAGGTGATGGGGATGTAATTTGATCTTTGTTTGTTAATCCCAAAGCCCTGGCTTTTCACCTCTATGCTAGGAACCTGGGTGCAGGAATTTAAAGTGATTGCTACGAAAGTGGCCGTGGTCATTGCCAGCTCTAAACAAGAGACTTGTAGGTATTTTCTGTTCTCTCTATAGATTTCCTTCTTTTCATTCACCAGACAGGAAAACTGGCTATCATCTGTGATCTCCATTCTCTATTTTACTATGTACCAAGTCCTTCAGAATATTTGCCACAATGGCCTCTTAATTGTTTTTTTTTTTTAGTTTCATTGCTCCTGTCAAAGTTAGTTCTTTCCCCACCATTTCACTATATTCTCGCCAAACTCCTCTAGCTATACCCAAGTTAGACCCTGTCTTTTTAGTTCTATACCAACACATGGATCATTTTTCCTAAAATTTCCTATTTATTATGTCCCCGTCACATTCAAGAAACTTCACGGGCTCTTTTTGCTTCTAACGATAGCATCTTTTCCTGCTTTTCTTTGGTCTCTCTAGCAGCTTCTCTAATTTTATACCACTCACTGCTTTTAAAGGGCCAATTTCTCTTCTGTTTCTGGTTCCAAGATTTGTCATTTTTCCATATAAATGAACTTTTCTTTCTAACAAAGGCTTAATGGAATTAGAAGTATGTTTCATGTCACAGAACTAGCAGATGAAACAGATTAAAAGCAAGGCAGTCACTTCATATGCCTTAGTGATGGTTCCTGCAAAAATACTATTGAAGATACTAGGGAAAGTTTTAGCCCCAAATTCACTGTATTATAGCTGATAGAAATATGTTTCGTATTTTTAACAGAAGTAAACTATAGGCCCCCAAGATCTCTATCCTGAGTTTATACAAATAAGAGCATATATAATATCCACACTGTGAATCCTAATATGCCCCCACTCATGATCCACCATCTTATTGCATGTCTGAAGAGTATCTCTATTGCCTCCTTTTTCTAAAGACATTGCCCAACTCAGGAATCTACTTTCTCTTTCTAGGAGTAACTACCCCATTGAAGATACTCGTATTTGTAGAATCTCAGAAGAGTCTCTTTTCTATCCTCTCCGAACTCCCAATCTCTCCAAAACTTCCATTCCTGTAGGAGTGCTTTTTTTTTTTTTTTAAAGCTGAATCAACATAAAAGGTTAAGAGAGATAGAAAAGACAAAGATATTGTTTATAATTTTTATTTCATTTTTAGCATATAGGGGTTAATTCTAGAGGCAGGGCATTGCCCTTTAGTCCCCAGGAGATGAACTCTCCGAACACAGGGCCCCCTCTGGTAGGCACCAACAGAGTCAGACAGGCAACTCAATGGTACTTGTAGGCCAGAGCATTAGCCACAGCAGCTGTCAGCTTCTGCCATGCAGCCTGCATCTGTGGGGTAAACTCTCTGCTGAACTGGGTTGCCAAGGCAATCAATATCATGTTGCCAAGGAGCTGCGGAGAGAGTGGGGACAAAAAGAAAATAGTACATAGTAAAGAGAAGTCCTCAAGCTGGTTTTGCAACAATAGATACAACTCTAGTTTCCGCCCTGATAAGTCTAAGCACCTTTCAAATTTAGCCATGGATTCTTTTCAATTAGAGTGAAAAAATTTTGTTCAGACAAGTGTATATATTATTAATACAACTCACCAACAATGGAGTGACGCTCGATTCTTCTCTAAATTACTCAATTCTTATCTGT